TTAATACAAATTATGCAAGCCCAAACACAAGGTAGTTACAGTATACCGTTGAGGAGTTCCCTTAACAATTACACTTCTTCATCATCAGTCCCTATTTACCATTAGCGGGACGATTGAGCTCTGCAGCTTATGCTGTCTGGAAGATACGACAGTTAACCGACATAGACACGGCAAGACTAGTGTATTTCCGTTACTTTCATAGCATTATGTCGTATGGCATTTTGCTGTGGGGACACGATGCTGACATTGAGTCTGTCTTTATCTTACAAAAGCGCGCCGTCAGAGATATCTACAATCTAGATCGTCGCGAATCTCTCAGAGAAAGGTTTAAGGAGATCAACAATATGACCGTTCCATGTCAATTTATTTATGAAAACATCATGTACGTTAGGAAAAACCTACAGTTATTTGGTAAAGTGTCGGATAGACACCACTATCAACCTAGACATAAGAATAGATTAAGTCAGCCAATTTCGAGATTAGCGAAAGTAAGTAAGTCGTTCATGGGATTCTGTGTTAAATGTTATAATAAGATACCAGGCGATGTACAACAACTAAATGAATCCAAATTTAAATTATGTATAAAGAAAACTTTATGTAGACAAGCATATTAGGTACAAACTTAATGAATATATATGTAGAGGATAAAAATGCTTAGATGCAGGCTAGTCCGGCTCCACAGGATAACTAAAAACACTGTTGTTTTAATGAATTCATTGCTATATTGTATAACTTAGATAACCATTGTAAATGTGAGAGCCCTGTAATTAACTTAATATTAAATTAGATTAGTAGAATTCATTTGTGTCAGCTTGGAGTTGTCATGCTCACTCAAAGGTCTCATTGGCGGTGGCGCGTGCAGTGGATCGCTCGATTCCCTACAATATGGTTGAGTTGGGCGGTGCTGGTGTACGTGTCATGTTCGTGAACGGGCGCCATCAACTGGGTCTGGTCAGCTCCAGACTGTATTATTGTCCTTAAGGTTATTTTCTTTTTTGATCACTTTGACTGAATTTTAGTGTTACATTGTTCTCGCACAATCCAAATAGCAAAACTATGTAACTAGTAAATTGTATTGTGAACCTGATTGAAAAAGAGGAGGAGTGGAGTTTCTTGCTCGTTCTTGTCCATAGGAATCTACATCTTGGAATAAGCAAATAGTTTCACGTTTAATTTTTTTGTTGACGTTCAAAAGTGCCATTCTGGCCTAATTGAAATAAATGATTTTGAATTTGACTTTGACCTGCGTCAGGCGGTAGGTGAGGACGCCGTAGCGTCTCTCAAGCCACTCCTCAAAGAGGGGACTTACCGCTGCGATGGCAGCGAGCCCAGCCCCCGGTTGAGACAGTCATTGCTGCCATTCCACCATGAGATCGCGCCGGAGCTCATCCCGCCACGCACTTATCTGGCGCGGCAGCGGAGTTTCGCCCCGGCGACGTGCCTCCGCGCGCATGCGATACAGGCGCGCGAGCACCTTAGCCTCCAGATCCCACGACGGTAATCCGGCAAGGAGGTTCGTCGACTTCCCGGAGATCGTGCGGTATCCGCGGATCATTCGGATCGCCATGACCCTCTGTGCCAGAGCGGGACGCCGCAACAGGTTCGGCGCCCACACGGTGGCGTCGTAGAGGGCCATGGACCGATGTATGGACACCGCACGACCCCGGCGTATAACCTCCGGCAGGAGGCGTTTGGCCCCCCGAGGTTGGGGAGGATGCGCTTAAACGCCGCCCCCGCCCTCTCCAACTTTGGAGCCAAACGTCGGAAATGCTCTATGAAGTTCCACCGACTGTCGAGGACGAGTCCCAGGTACTTCATCGTCGTCTCGACGCCGATGGTAACCCCTCCCGCCGTTATTTGGGACCCACCAGGAGGTGGCGCGTACCCGCGGCCATGAAAACACATGGCCTCGGACTTGTGGAGCGCCACCTCGAGTCCCAACTGCCGGATTGTTGAAAGATCAATGACTGTCGCAACCGCTGTCGCCATTAAATCGGCCGCCGCCTGGTGCGACCTCCCGTACGCTAGCACCAGGGTGTCGTCGGCGTAGCATATTGTGCTAACGGGAGGTCGTCGGTGCGCAGCACCCAGTCATAGCCGATGTTCCACAGGAGCGGCCCCAGAACCGAACCCTGTGGAACACCGCGTGACATCTCTCGCCGGTTCCACTCGCCCCGGTGACCGGGGTAAATGACAGACCTGTCCGTCAGGTATGCCTCGATTACACAACGGAGGTAGGTGGGCACCCGATGATATCGGAGTGCCTCTAAGATGCAGCTCCAGGGCAGGGAGTTGAAGGCGTTGGCGATGTCCAGAGACACCGCCACTACGACCTTACTCCTGGACACTGCAGTCCCCGTCGTCCGGTCACTAACGCGAATGATGGCGTCCATCGTGGAGCGCCCTCTGCGGAAGCCGAACTGGCCGTCCGACAGGTCCGGCCCAATATCCGTCAGGTGCGCGACGAGGCGGTTCGAAATGATTATTTCGAAGACTTTCCCCACCTCGTCGAGCAGCACTATGGGCCGGTATGCGGACGGAGAGTATGCAGGGCGCCCCGTCTTCTGCACGAGGACCAGTTTGCCCGCTTTCCAGAGAAGCGGGAACTGGCCTCTCTCCAAGCATGCGCTGTTGAGACCGACACTTCAGTGTCTACGAATCCTCAGTTTACTTATCTTTGTAGAGTTATCATTGCATGTTTATATTTGGTTTTAAAGCAGAAGGTATTTAAATGGAAACATAAAGGAGAGAAACTCCCGAAAGGAGTAGGCAGAGGTGCACATTACGGCACTTAATGTCACAGTAGGTACTACAATACAATGTAACACCCACTTTTCACTATTTATGTTATGAGTCTCATGTAATATGGGGTGAGCCTGTTTCCATATACCGGGCACAATTCCAGAGCTCGTGCTAAAACTTAGATTTTTTAAAACCCAGTAATACTTTGCCTGACCCCGGGATCCGAGACCCCTTGCCCGGCAATCGGGTTTGCAATCACTCGGCAAACGAGGCAGTTTATTAAAATAATGCAAGTATTACCTACTATATAAATATGTGAAGATACAATTAAGTACATTTTTGTTCTATGAAATTAATTAAAAGATTAAATATTAAAACAAAGGTACCTACTTTCGTTAAAATAAATTCATAGGTACGCTGATTGCAGCAGGTTATCTTAATTAAAGCGATAATGTATTAATTATTGTGCACTTACGCTTCCAAATTAATGCTTATAATGCGCTGAAACCTTTTAATCATTTGCTATCACATAAAAATACTTAGCTGCTGCTGTGCTTCCTAATGCCAAAGAAAGATAGTACAAGATAACATGGACCATCCACAACAGACGGACTTACCGTGTTTAAGTTCTTTATTGTGAAAATACAAAACATACGTCCATTATTTTTAGTAGTTGAGTTAAAATTAACTTGTCATATTGTCAAAAAACTACAATATTAGGTACATTACAGTCGTACTTCATGATTGTAGGTCTTGGTGTTGCTTGAAACTAATCGAACATCCTCGTGCAGTTTACTTCACACTTTCATTGCCACTACGATATTCACGGTGATTATTTCTCGTATGTCGGATGTCCCACATACATAAATATTTTCCGTCAATTAATAAAACCCCCACAAATGTCCACAATCCTACTAATATTATAAATGCGAAAGTTTTGTGCCTGCGGAGCAGAGAGGTGAGAGGCGAGCGACGGCGAGCACGGGTGGTTCGCCGCTCGACCAGAACCAGGCCCGAGCGTACGGTGCGTCGCGTTCCGCGCGCCCCTCAAGGAGCCATCAGACCACCACAGATGGGGCCCAATAGGGCTGATGCCCGATACGGAGCGCGCAGGACTTAACGGGTTGTCGGGGCTCCGGCTCAATGTGCAGGAGTAGGAACAGGGTGGTTTTCATTTTCAGTCAGTACGAGTCTGACACTCATCTCGCCTCACCCGGACGAGAGAAATCATTGGATGATTTTCTCCCTCAAAAAAAGGATTGGGATGATATTTCCAACAGGGGTAGATTATGGTCTGTAATAATACAGAGGCTACTTTACATCCCACGGGAACGCGAGCGAACCTGCCGGCAGAAGCTAGTACTAAATAACTAGCTAAGTAAGAATACAAAACTGCAAGATTAATGTTAAGCGCATGGCTCGTTAGTGATTTAGATAAAAGTAAATAAATTAAGTCACGAACAATATTTCACGATAAAATTCATAATCAAGATTAATCGGATAATCCTATTAGTTAAATATAAGAACTACAGAAAATACAAGGTTACGACCGAATACTGAAAGGCTACTTTTACCACCATTTTAAGTTATACTGTTGTTGTATCTTTGTAATTTTACATAGTTTGCAACTACACAACTAAACTTAAAATTGAGTGTTCATCGAGTATTTGCACATTAATCACATGAAATTAAATAAAAAAACCGACTTCGAAAACCAAAACCTAAAAACAAGCAAAAGGTCAAAACTAAAAAGCAAAAAATAACTATTATTAGTCATACGTACTTATAGGTGCGAAGTCGGGTGCCATCATCACATCTTAGGTGGAGTGACGATATCCGCTGTGTGCCTGGCAGCGGTTACTGGTTGGATGCGAAGAGCTGAAGATCGAGCTCAGTGGCGTGCTATTGGAGAGGCATATGTCCAGCATTGGACGAACATGGACTGATGATAATTGATGATTGATGATTTTAATACACAAAAATTCGCAACTAACCAAGGTAAAGGACGCTCTACACTTCTCTTAAAGCCTCAAGTGGAGATGAAATGCGAAAGTTTGTTAGGATATGTGTGTGTGTGTGTGTGTGTGTTTGTTTGTTTGTTTGTTTGTTTGCTACTCTTTCACGCTAAAATGTCTAAAGGGATTAAGATGAAATTTGAAACACTGGTAGCTGGAATGTGGAATGTGTTACATAGGCCACTTTTTATCCCACAGCAATACGGGCGAAGCTAATGATAAATAAAAACCAGCAAATATTTTCTAAACATTTATTCAACTAATTCTAAGTTCACATTAAAAAAATTTCGTGCTTTCATACAAAGGTAAGATTATTATTTAAGCATAGTTTTAGATAAGTGGGTACAAAATATGTGAAGCGAATTAAATGCATTGTTGTTTACATGACTATAGACAACTAAAGTAAATCATGAGTTTGCCAATTTTCTATAAAATGATGAAGACACAACATAAAGGTTTAAACAGAAGTTAATGTACAGTTTGCTGTAGATAATAATAATTTTTAATCCCCTTATAGTTTAGTAAGCACCGGGTATTTCAAAATTTCAACACCTAATGTAATTTGTCGGATTTGAATCGAATCTTAAGCCTCTAACTCGGTTATAACTTTTGACTCCAAAGTGGAACATTCTCATAGTCGCCTAAAGAGGACACAAAAGGAACCGTTAGACCCTTATTGACTAAACACCACTTCGGTGTTCCGTCTTATACGAACCATCGAACTAATAGACCGTATAAAATTAAGTACCTACCCGGTATCAACGCTCACAAACCCGGTACCATGACACAGGGGACAACACAATCAGTGAATGATGCAAAGATTTCTTTAATTAAGAAATTATCAGAATGTTATGAATCCAATGATAATAATTATTTTATAAACAGCTGTGTAAATGCTACATTTTATCAATTTGTACTATTTTTTGTGAATATTGTGCAAGATTTTTAATTGCAATAAGATTACATTTTGAACCATACACCTTTGTAATAAAGTTTAAAACTTATTATTGAAAAGTCATTGTTTATTTTGTCAGAAACATAGACAACTTCTAGGCTATTATTAAACATCATTTTCACTATATAGTAAAAACAAAGTCGCTTTTCGCTGTCCGTCTGTCATGCATGAATTGTTAAAACTGCGCAATGGATTTTAATGCGGATTTTTTCATAAATAGAGCGATTCAAGAGGACTTATATGTGTAATAACATCCTCCTACACCACGCTTGTAAAGCCGCGAGCGGGAAGCTAGTTTCTTCAGTAAAATATAGCATTTACGCAACTACAATCAATCTTTATATTAATAAATAGCATAATACTTAAACGTGAGATAAAGTACTATAAGTAGCGACAGAGAAATACAAAGCATCTAATTATAGTATAATATAATATAAAGGCACTTTTTAACTAAACTAAAATATATATATTGAGGTAATATAGACATTGTATAGATAGAGCCTACGTTGATCCAAAAAATATTGAATGAATGTTTTTAGACGAACGTTAATTAATAATTCGGAGGTTCTCAAATCAACTACTTTTATTATAAGTCGTTATAAAATAGTAGCAGAATTATTAAGTTTTGTACTGGATAAAACGGATTGTTTCACGGAAATATTTTAGTTTGCTATAATTTAAATAACTATAAACGGGAGTCCATACAATATCTATATTCTATATCATATATCATCAATACTATTTATATTCCTTAAAGTTAAAGGTTTAACCTGTAACTGGTAAATATTTAAACAACAGTTTAAGATTAAGATAGAAAATATTACATAGATCGTCTTTTTCTTTCATTCTGAAATAGCCACAGTTTTTAGCTATTGGCACCAATGTATCTTTAAGTAACTTTATCTTGTATATAAAAAATTTTAACAGGTCAAGGACTTATCTTGCCCGACTAGGGTTAGGTTATCGAACCCAGGAGTGGGCTAGCAGAATCTGAAACAATGACCTTGGCGAAAATTTTAAGTACACAAATGTAAGTTTTATTATTTTCATGTTAACAGTTTTCAAAAATTACCAATTATCATGCCAGCTCAACAATAAAAAAATACTTTGAAATATTCAAAAAAACACTAATCAGTTGACGAATTTACAACAATGTTATCAGAGATTTACCAAAGTGGCAATTACATCGATCCGAATAAATATTGATAATACGAAAATTTACTGTAACTTGATAAAATAACAAGATTCTACAACGATACATTGATAAAGGGTATTTATTTGTTATCTTTTAGCTATACCATGTATTAAGGTCGCTTGTACAGGAGATCCCCTGAATGAGTAAAAATAATTTTCTACCAGGTTGTATTCGAAGTTACTTGCAGTCAAGATAATGACATCTGTTTACCTTCCATTCTCTCTTGTCAGGTGTCATGACAGCATACCTTCTTCTTGTTCAATTACTTAACTCTTGGTTTGTCGGAACATAGGTCTAACCAAGACACAATATATTTTTTGTTGTATTATGATACAGCGGCTGACGTGAGACTGATACACAATCTATCCAACCCGTGGATTACGTGAAAGTTCAAACAAAACGTGAAAAATTACCAGGAGTAAGAAACAACTGTGGTATCTTAACAACTGTCTTGTAATTTAACATTTTAGAAAACCTACTGCACTAAGATGAAATTTACTCCAAATACATTATTTATTAATACAATTACACATGTCTATGTATTTTGTTATTCGCTACAACACAACTAACATTCCTTTCTAAATTAAATAACATTAATATTGCATAAAATTAACGAAATCATAACAATAGTTTATCACATATAAAAAATACCTAACGCATTCTACATTATAGACTCGATTCAGGCAAGTTGAATATACATATTATTATGATTATATCTGATTGCATTAAAGTAAAATAAAAACCTACAACTTTGACAAATCTAATCGTTAAGATAACGATCAGGAATGTCAAATTAAAAAAGGCTTCTGAGTTTCGATAATATTCTTGAAAAACATTAAATACAATTCAATACTGTAATTTTACTAAGAATCTCAATAATACTTTGACGGAGCCGAGAATTGAACTGGAAAAATCGTAAAGAATGTTAATTAATCCAGAAAACATATCGATATTTCGAAATATGTAGTATTAAAAAGGTATTATGGGATGCAAACAGTTTTAAATCAGCATTAATATAGGATTAAAATACTTTATTAAACGTCATACCATCAAGTAATCGTGCATTGATAAATACAATTTTAATATGTCGATAATAATGACTGTCGTGATAACTTTATTTTGCCTTTAACGCAATCAAATATATAAAAAACATGCATATGCTGATGGTCTATATGCATTATCAAATATATAAAAAAACATTAAGTTTGAACCTAATATTCGATAAAATTGAACAGACTGAAATTATCGACATTCGCTATACACTATCGACAAAATATCGAAGTTCGTCGTTAAAAAATCAATAGCAAGGTTTGATCGAGTGAAGTAATTTTTCTTTTAGAAAATAATAATAAATGAACAGTGTTTACTGTTTATTTGGTTTTGGATAGATAATAATTATAAATATAATCTCATAACGATAAGTCACCTGATGACGTCACAGTTTACGAGTATGGCGTGCGCGGGTTCACGTTGATCATCTCCGTGGTGCTGCAAAATTAAAAATGTAATTCTTTGTAATGGCTTTGTAGGTTTAAGGCCTGTTTCACTATGTCTAAATAGCCGCTATGTACTAGATAAAGGACAATGGGTAATTTTGGGCCCATCTCTCAATAAGAATAAAATTACCCCTCTATGGATTTCAGATTGAATTTGAAATGTCTTTAGGACGTCGTACCTCCGAGGATACTAACATTTGATCATAGGTATATTAGTAACTATTGTTCTATTTGAAAATCCCTATCCAACGGCGTATCACATGTTGCTATTGAGGGGTGGGCCCAGACTCCATACATTTGGTTCACACTGTCCTTTGAATGTAGAAATTTGTAATATTTTGCTTTTATCTGGTTCTTGTATGAAGTTGGTGAAACAGGCTCTTAGTGAGGTAGAAATAAAGATAGCTCATATCCTGAAATAATCTGTCAGTAGATTTAACTACATACAACTAAAGATTCCTTAAGATTAAAAAAATAAGGTCCACACAAAATGTGTCTTAAGTTATTGTAATTAAGTCTAGTAGGCAAATCTGAAACTGACAATGAATACGGTACAAATAACTAGATGATTAAGATGAAAGTTATACAATAAATATAATACCTAAATAATATGAATATAATGAAAACTCATTTACAGTAGGTTAAGTTGAATTTCGCACTTATAGTACACAATCTGTAAGTACGAATTTCATTGCTTAATTGAGTATAGGATACAGAATACATTCTAATATTATAGTAGTGTGTGTTAGAAAGTGGTAGGGAAAGGAATGGTTGAAAACGAGCCATTTTGAAAACAAACTTAATAAAATAATCAATTACCCAAAATCCTTGTCTAAGTCGAGGTTTTGAACAACAATAATAAATACGTTTATAAATAGTTCGGTAAATTAATAAAATAAAAGTCAAAGTGTCATAAAGCTGTGCCACAAAGTCGATATTGACACATTAATTTTATCGACTTTTAGTTCACGCTTTTTAATATAAAAATTAAATGAATAGTAAAAAATAATAAACTACTTCTAACTATGGAATAGTCGTAGAGTACATACACTTTAGCTTTGTCTTGTGAGCTACCCACGGCTGCAGCTTCGGAATATTCCTTCCACATATTGCTACAAATGGTTATTTAATTTCATTGCAGCACTATTTTTAATGCTCTTGCTCAGGCTAAAAACTCGGACTATTATAGTGTTGTTCTACTGCGTACAGTTATCGATATAGTGATTTATCTTTATATATATTTTATCGATAAATAGATTGCATTTTTTTATTTCTTTACGATGTAAAAGTAAACTTATTGTTATGTATACACCGGTCCTAGTGTGTATACAGAGTTCTGAAGAAGTTAATATAACTTTGCCCGTGATTTAACACATTGGCTGCCGTGTCGGACAATGATGTCCGACGCTAGCGGAGGATTAGCCTTTAACAGTTTTTGTCGGCAGTTAAAGGGCTTAACCCGTTGAAATCCATCTCCTAAATTTGGTCATACAAAAGTAGTCTCTAAACATTAGAAATAAGGTCTATAATGTAATGTAATATTAGTGGAAAGCGGTCACCGCTTGGGGATTTATGGGTTAAGAAGTGATTTGAAGGTAATATAACAGTAGATAATAAGGAAGGTTGTATACATTTTACCCTACAAAAAACTGGATGATTTCTTCATACAGGATATAAAAATTATATAAGCAACACTTTGTGAGTTTGGTGTATGTATGTTGGTTACTCAATCGAGTCAAAACTGCTAAAAGGAGCGGGCTGGAATTTGGAAATGGATAGATTATGGTATGGAATAATATGTAGGCTACTTTTTATCCCATGAGAACGCGGGTGAAGCCGCTTAGCAGAAACTAGTATAGGAATATATGAGTTTTTAGCCCGAGCAAGAAATAAAGTGAAAATTAAAGACTGTTCAAAAGTCAGTTCAATTGCCATAGCGATGCTGACGTTTGGAAAATTAGTTGGTTTGGTCAGGAATTATGAGCGGTTTGTCATGGAATGGAAGAAGCCTCGACTGGGCCTAATTATGGCTCCAAATTAAGATTTTTCCACAGCCAAAAATAAATTGTTCGTCTAAATCACCAAACCAGATATTTTTACACGTTTACATGTAGCATTTAACACACATTGGTGCTTAAACTGCTAAATTACTCAGCCTCATAGTCTAAATAATAAGTTATAGCAACAAAAACCATTTTAAGACATAAAACCATAGAACTAAGGTCGATTTTCGTCTGTCAGACATCGCCAAGACATTCAAGATAGAAAAATTTTCTTCTAAATAATAGAAAATAAAACAAATAATAACTTACTTCGGCTTATGCTCTGGCTCTTCGTTTATGAAGAAAGTTTGGGACATGGGAGGGTAGAGTCTGATGTTTACATGCAATTACATTATACTGTTAGTAACCAATCCTGAACCTTATTACTAATACATTAAGCGTGGAATTGATTTAGACAATGAAAAGGTTATTGTTGACAATTTTGCCAAGACATTTATATTTACAATTTTGTCGTCTTAGTTTACTAATGGCGGCGCCACTGGCGTTTTTAGTCGTCAACAAAAAAACTGTACACAAGGGTTGTGTATCATACAAAATTGAACCGACCACCGTGAAAAACATGCAATTCATTTGCCATTTCCCGTTTAACGTTTCTTGCTTAATTCCCATAACGACTTTTATTTATCAATAATTTGACTTAAACACATTACCTACCCACAAAAACCGCCAATAATAGTTACATATTGCATTAACGACTGCATTTCTCTTTGAATCTTTCATTTATTTCATATTTCAATATGTTTAGGGCCGATTTTTATCAACATAGGTATAACTTTCACTGACAGTTCGTGTATAGAAAGTGTGTCACAAATTAGTTACTTATCTGGGGTTAGAAAAATCAGTATTAAGTCAAAATAAAGGTGGTTACAGTCATAAGAAACGTCAAACAATAAAATGGTTCCTATAAAAGGTGTAGTAATACATACCTCTTGGAGCACTTGACATGAATGACGAGTAGTACGATGCCCAGCAGTAAGCACAAAGTTCCCACCACGACATAGGCCACGCCCAAGAATGGATTCTTCCCTCCCAGCAAGGACGTCGTCGATATTATGAACGACTTGGTACCGTCAAAGTCAGTTACCGGATAGTCTGCGAAAAAGGAATTTAATTAAACTGTCTAATTTATGAAATACAGTACGTATTATAATATCTCGCACACCGTATATTACACAAACTATTACATTACTTTTATGCAAACAATAATATTAAATAATATAACACCTGACAGCAGAACAATCACATTAATTACTTCTTCACCAAATATAACAGTGAATGGCGGACTTAATGCCTTAAAGCATTCTCTGACAGTCAACTATAGGGAAGTGCAGAGAAATGAAGCGGATGATGTGAAGTCAGAACACAATAAAAAAAAGAAATAATAGTTATTAAATATTATGCATACAGTACACATAAAAACATAAAATAACATTACGCCTTTTATCCCCGAAGGGGTAGGCAGAGGTGCACATTATGCCACTGTATAATGTAACACTCACTTTTCACTATTTATGTTACGAGTCCCATGTAATAGAGGGTGAGCCTATTGCCATATACCGGGCACAATTTCAGATTCCGTGTTACTACTGAGATTTTTTTAAAACCCAATAATATTTTGCCCGACCCGGGAATCGAACCCGAGACCCCTTGCCCGGCAGTCGCACTTACGACCACACGGCCAATGAAGCAGACACATAAAAACCTATTCAATAATAATACAATATATTATAGATCATTTAGTGTATCGCTGACTTGGAAATCGAATTCTTTGTTCGTTATTGAGGTTTTCGAACACTCGACGTAACGTAATAAACACAATGTGTGAAGCAGACAAATGGTGATATTTTTTATATCACGACACGGTGGCAAAAAACCACACGGCCCGCCTGATGGTAAGTGGTTATCGTGATCTATGAACGGTTGCAACACTTGGGAATTAGATACATGCTTCTTGCCGACCTGAGCAATGGGGTAGACGACTAATTTTTATTTTAATGTCCGTCTGGTAGATTATTTAAAAATATTAGACACGTATTTTTTATTTTCTTACGGAAACGAATAGTTTCGAAGATATATTGATTTGAAATGTCGCGTGAAGTCACTTCTCAGTACATTTTATACTAAGAAATGACGTTTTAGCCCCCACTCCTAAACTTTGATTCGTTTTATCTATACGTTTTTTAGTATTGTTTTATTATACAACAAAATAAAAAAATACGTGTCTAATATTTTTTTATTACCTAAGTTACGGACTAATTATATTTTTAATTTTCATACCCTGTCATCATCCCCATAATAAAGCTTCCTCCATTGTACCTCTAAAGTAGGTTTCTATTTTCTTTTAAAAGATTTATAATACTAGTAAAATGCATTAGAAATTCATTCTAGTTTACTCTTATTCAATTGGGTATTTTCCTCAGTCAAAAATATTATTTCAACTTTTCAACGAAAATTAATATTCGAAAATATTCGTTTTTCATTCATTGATGATTTATCCTCAATAAATTTCATATTTTATAATAAATTTTGAAGAAATAAGAATATTAATCTATATATAAGGTGTTAATAAAGTAACTCTAGGAAATCTAAGGTTTTGTTGTAACATTTATTCCATAATTAATCACGAAAAAATAATTTAACTAAAAGCTACCGTTCTAAAGTTATTCCACTATTTGTGTTACACGTAAACAGCCTAATATGCGCGCCGTACGGCGTACTAGGCCGTCGACGAAGCCCCGAGCGACCGCGCTGACGCAGGTGTCGTGGTACCGCGCGCTTATGTTACTACTGAACTTAATAATGTTTCATTTTAATAAACGACCACACGACTCTGTTTAGATTATGTTATTTAACTGAATTGATATGCTTATAATTAAAATAGCATAGCTACAATGATTAATTATGTCAATTTTTTGAATAGGTAAATACTAATAATAACTCAACCAAAAACCAATACTTCGGTAGTTAGTAGTACTAGTACTAGGTGGTAGGTTGGTAGTTACTTAGGTATTTATCATTTACAAGTATTCATCGGAATAAATGCCCGTCTCTAGATACCTAAGTATTAACAAAGAGTCTACCTTATTTACAGAAGATGCTGGAACTTGGAAGTGTCTTCCACTTTGTTCGATGCACAAGTTTGTACGACGCGACGTATTACGTTGTTTTTCACTCGCAATAATGTGTCTCTGTCACTTTTAATAATATCAAACGCGTTTATTATGCTTATTTTTAATTCGTCCGCGTTTCTAATCTCACTACCACTGACGAGCTGCAGATACATTTTCGCCACTTCTAATGTACCACATTAACATGTCTAAGTACTTGCGGTTACTATGCGTAAACTGCATTATTGAATATTGAACAACAAACAATAAAAAATGGCGCGTGCGATTGATCGGACACAACACTGAACGACACTGAGGGCCACACCCTTCCCGCGCGACAGCTATCGGTCAACTGGCGATCGAGAGAGAGAGAAGTGGGAAAGAGAGCGGGGCAACTAGCGAACGGGAGAGAGGGAGAAAGAGAGAGAGATTGCGATAACATGGGGACGGTGACGGCGCGCCATTGCTTCGCTCGGGCCGCAAGCGCAGCCCCACGTACGGTTTGCACAAAAACGTTTAACCAACTCCTTTATTTTTGTTAAAAATAAAAGTTGTTAAAATTGTTAATTTTTTTTTGCTAAACGTGTCAGTTTATTGATTCCCACCAACCTCATAAAATATTTAGAGCGAATTTATTAACACCTTATATATAAAAGAAAGTCGTGTTAGTTACACCACTTATAACTCAACAACGGCAGAATAGATTTGGCTGAAAATTGGTAGGGAGGTAGCTTAAAGCCAGGAGACCGACATAGGATACGTTTTGACCAATTTTTTTTTTTACTTTTTACCGAAAATCACGAACGGGGACGGGAAAAAATAGGATTACGCGTACGAAGTCGCGGGCAGAAGCTAGTAATTCATATTAATCGATAAAAGCATTGAATTTGGCAAGCTGTTAAAACTGTATTGAAATGGTAATATCAACTTACTGTAATCTACGATGAGTTCGTATGCTCCTTTGGCGAGTCCAGTGCTGTAGCCGAGCTCCTTGTGGTCGACGCGCCTGTACAGCTTGCGGAACGTGGGCAGCGCCGCCGTGCGCATCCATACTATTAGGTCCTCGTTCTAAAATAATAATAAAAGGTTTTTAAAGGTAAAACGAAAACAGCGAATTAGAGATAGGCGATTTTTAGGATAATAATCAAAATTGATTAACAGTACTGAGTTAAATCCGATTTTACTCGAGTGTTTAACCACTTTTTTGGATTTGGATACTTCTTGGATACAGGCCTTTTTCCTTAAAATATAACACATAACGTTACGCCCTTTTTCCCCGAAGGGATAGGCAGAGGTTCACATTACGGTACTTAATGCCATTGTACAATGTAACGCCCACTTTTCACTATTTATGTTATGAGTCCCGTGTAATAGGGGGTGAGAATGCACTCACTAAGTATTTTTTTAAAAACCCAGTAATACTTTCCCCGCCTCGGATATCGAACCCGACTACCCTTGCCCGGCTCGCACTAGCGACCACTCGTCCAACGAGGCAGGGTTTTTCCTTAACTCCAATTATTTATAGTATTACCAATATTCCGTTTATTCCTTATTAATAAACTTTAAAAATTACCTGAAATCCATTGTTTTCAGTGTCGTTAGGGTCCAACTCCCAGACATTGACTCGCCAATTTTCAGGCTTCGTGAAATTTGCGAAAGCTGTAATGCACAAATAAAAAGAATAAGAAATGTGTATCTATTTGTAATGAATAAATAAAAATAAAGGAATTTATAGGTTGAAATGTTGCTTATGGGACGAGACGACGTGCTCCATCGTAGACCGCATCATCGCTTACCACCAAGCGGAGACAGTGGTCAAGCGTCGGCCCACCAATATAAATAAAATGTTTCTTTATTGTCTATACAGAACTCATAGTAGAGAAACACTTTAGAAAGTCATTTTAAAACTGTAATTTTATTAAAGATGGCTTCACGTTAAGTTAAAGATAGCGAACCCTTGCCGATGAAATTCTCTTGTTATTCAATTTATATACAACTTTATTAACTCAACATTAATTAAGGTTGGTATTACAGAACGATCCTCGAACGGAGATCTCTCCTCAAGGATAGTTGGAAAGGGATACACATATATGTTGAAAGTATTTGCAACCTGTTTTAACTGTTGAGAATTTGTTCGAGTATCGTTTCGTAATACCGGCCTTAGTTTGATTAGGTTTAGGAAATAATAACTACATAAATACCTGTCTTAAGATCTCCAGGGGGGTTCCTGAACTTGATTTGCTTGTCAGAGTCCCAAGCGATCCCTGTGCGCAGCACCGGCACGTTTGAATTCGAGATATGAGAGAACACCGTCAGCGTATCTGAACGAATATTGGAAAGTTATTTACATCAATTTAAATAAAAATCGATCTCGATTCACGAATAGTTTCGAGCCACACCGGGTTCCAGTGCGCACGACGACTGTCGCAACGTCACGCAGTCAATTTACGCACGTTACACAATAGTTACAATTTGTTATTAAAACTATATAATCTATCAAAAAATATCGAATAAACATTTTTATTTTTTACCTTTGCCTCATGCATACATATAAAAAGAGAGAACTAACACAGCTGTTTAAGGTTGCTTTTTCATTGCTATGATCTAAACTTTTTGCTAGAATACAGTAGCTTCTTTCAGTACATACCATTGAACAGAGAGTTGGCTATAGCACCACATGGGGCCACAGGTTTTTCTTTCCCATCCTCCATAGCATATGCAAACGGCAAGCAGTCAGTTGAAGGCGTCAGAGACAGGCGGCCCAGTAGCTGGCTGTCATCCCTAAAAAAACAAGAATAAAAATATGAAGATAAAAACTCAATTTTATAGGATTTTTTTTAAGGGGGGAAAGTCATCGATTGGGTGCTCCCGCCTGGGTGAGGCGGGAGGGAGTGTCAGACTCTTACTGACTAAAAACCACCCCGTTCCTTCTCCTGCACGTCGAGCCGGGGCCCCGGTTACCCGTTAGGTTCTCCGCGACAATTTTATAGGATACTATGGCCGTGCAACCATGTCATGGTCGTGAAATCAGGTCGCTCAACCAACAAACTCTATCAGATCAATAACATGTCTTTCAATTTGGTTGCGCTACTGAGTGGTTGGCGACAACCGAATATTAGTTGTATCTCGCTGCATGTTGCCACTCTGCAGCCAGTCGGGACTCTAAGGTCCGTTGTCCACGTAACCGCACGTCATGCGCACGCGCACGCTTCGTCAATTGGTGATTGCAAAACGAATGCTTGCATTTTGCGTAGAAAAATCATAACTGTGTACACGGAGCGGCAACGTTGCGTCTTTACGTCACTCAGTACTTATTAAATTTTTCTTTTATGGCATAAACCGGTAAACGAGCAGACGGATCACCTGATGGTAAGCAATCGGCGTCGCCCGTGTGCGTACAAGTGCGTTACCGGCATTTTGGAGATTAAGAGTTTGAGGATCGTTGGGGATTCAGGGATTGGGGAGATTGGGGAAGGGGAGAGTTGCTTCACGTCGGTTTTCTGGGAGGCCGTGGTATCACTCCGGTCGAGCCGGCCCATTCGTGCCGAAGCATGGCTCTCCCACACTTAAAATAAATCTGCTTATCGTCATTTATAGGTTGCATGCATTTGTCAAATGAGGCGTCGTGGACAGCAGGCCTAAGGATTTTGTTTTTTTACGTCAAGTCCGTCGCTGGGTAGATCTAGAAATCAAAGTACGCAACAAATCCCAGGACTCTAATGCTATAGGCCGCTTTTTTAGGGGGAATTCATCCAATGACTTCTCCCACCTTGCGTTAGGCGAGAGGGAGTGTCAGACTCTTACTGACTAAAAAGTCTAAAAACCACCCCGTTCTTACTCCTGATCTTGGAGCCGAAGCCCCGGCTATCAGTTAGGCCTTCCTCGGCTCCAATGCTATAGGCCCCTAAACTGGTAATTTTATTAACACTCTGACATATACATATTGTAATATTGCTGATGGCAAGTTAAAAAACAATAGTGAAACTACGCGATTGGTCAAAAATATTTGGCAATGAGCCTAATGAAATGAAGCATGTTATATTCCCCATAGCAGGTTGTATATAGGGTACCTGCGTTTAATAATGGCTTTAATATTGAATGCCGACATTCAAACGTATCTAGGTTAGTCGGGAATGTCAGGGTCAGGGTAGACCTCTCTCTGTAACCCTGTAGTTGTGGAAAATCAATACGAGGAATGTTAAAACAAACAAATAAAGATTGTTTTTCTGCATAGTAGGTTTGGTGTTATAAGTGCCTATAAGCTGACTCCCATTACATGACTGACACAGTGACACTGAAAATATAAGCGGTGAAAAGTATTATATGTGTGTATGCGTGCACCTCTGCCAATCTCTTTAGGGCTTGGGCTTGTATGTGGCAATGTATGCTATATTGCTGATTAATATTCAAGAAAAACAGGAAATCCAATAAGGAAATCTTATTCACAACATAACAACATCCAATGGAATCTCCCGCCTGGGGTGAGGTGGGAGAAAGTGTTAGACTGCTACTAACTAAAAACCATCCCATTCCAAGTCTTATTTTGAGGTGGAGGTCGTGTAACCTGTTAGGTTGCCTGCAGCTCCGGGATTCATTTCAGTTGGAAAACTATGTCCAATATAATACTTAATTTCCTTTCACATAACATCACTCCATAATTCCTTTGAGGGATTGGTATAGAGATACTAATCACATTTACCAAATTATGTTTTAAGTCTTGTGTTATTACATGTTATTGCGGTAATGTTATTGTCATTAACACAATTCATTTTGGGCTGCAAATTTTCTAAAATCAAATATATCAACAATATGTTGCCCACCTCAAGAATGAAGCCCATGTTAGTTACACTTGTCATTTCTCTAGCCAATTCAAATAAACTCTTGGATTCAAATATTCAGAACTCAGATTTAGCTTCTGCCTGCGACTTTGTATGCGCAGTGTTTTCCCCTTCCCGTTCATGATTTTTGGTAAAAGGTAAAAATAGGAATTGGATAAAAGTATCCTATGTCCGTCTCCTTGTTCTAACTTTCCACCCCACCCATTTTCATCCAACTCGATTCAGCCAATCTCGAATTATAAATAGTGTAACTAACACAACATTCTTTTCTTTGTAATTTAAAATATATTAACTAAATTAAATGAAATCGTGTGTAACTCCCGTGAATATACTGAGTAACCCGCGCTTTTAGTTATATTAATATATGTGAATTATAAAAACAGGTTTAAAATATATATTAATATTATATTATAGAATAGAAATACTGCAACCTACCTTGACTTGACATATCGTCGATGATTTTGATAGTAGTTGCTGAGACCATAGTAAAAGTAGACATCTCCCTTGAAGTCCTCAGTCAAATTGAATGGGAGGCGGCAAGTGCAATGTTTCATATCAGTCCGTTTGATATAATCCGCACATGTTATATTTTCTCCTTCTTTCAGGCAACGTGTGTAATCTATTACATGTTCTTTTACCTAAAATTTAACAGCTTTTAATTATGTGCAATAATGTAATACTAGGTCAAAACAATGCTAGAGGTTTGATAGAATAAATTTGTTTCAAAACTTTATCAGGTAATCTTCTTGACAAATTACATTAATCCTCATTGAATGGAAAACCAAATTCATTTGACGTTTAATAAACTTGAGAGTTTACCTCATCAGAAAAGTAGAGTAATCCTATTCCAACGGGAATAAACGCAATGCCTATTACAAAAAACGTTGGCAGAACAGTTCCCGCAGTAAGAATAGGCTGCCAGGCAGGCAAACGTTGCTGTTTAAATGCAGATTCTAGAAACAATTTAATAAATTAGTCCAAATCCCAAATCGATACCTACAAGGCCATTTTTAAGGTGCGCCAAAGCGCCTTACCTGCAGGACGCCTGGATTTCACATTTTGTTCCGACGTTTCACTGGACGTCGCCATTGTAAACAATTTCTATGATTTCGTAAGTGATTCAATCTAAAATTAATAATTACGATTAACACTTTACGACGATGAACACATCACACTACACAATCACATCACTCACTGTTTTTCCTCAAAGTGTTACCAACGCTAAAGGCTAAATATCGCAGAATGTCAATAAAATTATTAATTCTATTAATTTATCTGGTTTTCAAGAAACTAATTCACGTAAAATATATTTGCAATTATTTTGAAATATGGTACTATATTTTTTGGTTAATCACTAGTGTTCATAATTTATTAATTTATTACTTTTATTTTTCCCGTATGTCAGGGACTCATGACAAATATTCCAGGTAAGTCAACACCTAACTTCATGACATGACAGTAAACAAATGTCAAAACTGTGCTGCCATGCTTATGTACCTAAATCTACTAAAAAAGTAGTTTAGGAAGGAAGGGTAGCGTAGTAAAATATTACATTCTAAAATAAAAATAAAAATTACGTAACATTTCAGTGATAAGTTACTTTTTCGTTTAGTTTAAAGTTTCCCTCTTCAGAGCAATGATTCTTAATTTAATAATGAGTCTTTTAGTTTGAGAGGTTTTTCAGTCTGACACCAAGGACCTTGTCTAACATTAGAATTCCTGTAAATTCGTTTACAAATACAAAAATTCACACTTGTCCCTTGCAGGAGTCAAACTCGCCACACAGTGGGTACTCCAGACAGCCGGTATAACTTAATGGTAGAATAATAAGCAGCTAAGTAAGTAGGTATGATAATTAAAAAAAATTCTCAGTAGTAGCACGGAGTCTGTAATTGTGCCCGGTATATGGCAATAGGCTCACACCCTACTACATACTACATAGGACTCGTAACATAAATAGTGAAAGTGGGTGTTACATATAGTAGTGGCATAATGTGCACCTCAGCCTACCCCTTCGGGGATAAAAGGCGTGACGTTGTTATATAAGTAGGTATAGGTTTCATGGTTTTAATGAATAATTTTGTTTAAAACTCGCCAAGTTTCTCCTTTGATTTAGAAAAACAACATTTAATTTTCAATCGAAAACTTATTATTACATTCAAATCTTTATAATTAAATAGAAAAATATTAGGTGCTTAGATATCGAGCACTTAGATATCTTTGATATCCAGTATTAAAAGCCTAAAATTAACTCTGTGGGCTTTAACCCGTCGAGCGACCACGTTTCTTATGATCCAACGGGTGCTCATAAGGACGCTCGAGGGGTTCAGCGTCCTAACGTCATAAATAACAAATAATTTTATAACAAACATGGCATTAGTAGGTTTTACGAAGAGGTAAGCAGGCAGAAATATAAGGCGAAAATTATATTCCGATTGAACGCTTTACATATTCCACAGTACCTAAATGTTTTTTTTTAAAGAGGGCAAAACATCCCATGACGTCTTGTCTTGGGTGAGGTAAGTCATGGGAGTCACACTTACTGACCAATAACCACCCCATTCCTACTCTTGTTCTTCGAGCCGGAGCTCCGGCAACCCTGGTAAGTCTTCCGCGGATCCATATCGGGCATCAGTCCTACTGGGTCCTGTCTATGGTGGTCTCATCTCAGGTCTGATGGCTCTACGACGCCCGCGTACCTACTAGGTCGTTACTATTGGACCTAGCATGTTCTATATCACTAGCTGTTGCTCGCGACTTCGTCCGCGTAGAATAATGACTTCTGGCAAAATTTGTGTTTATGAATTAGTCTTTTCCAAGGTATAATCGTATCAGTAACTAAGTTCTATTTTTTTTTAATGAATATAATTTCGTGGTTTCAAAAAAAGTAACTAAATAAATAAATAAATGGTATTGAGTTCGGATTTATATTCCGCACTCTGAATGTTATGTATAATGTTATAAATAAATCTCAGTAGTAGCACGAAGTCTGGAATTGTGCCCGGTATATGGCAATAGTCTCAACCCCTATTACATGGGACTCGTAACATAAATAGTGAAAAGTGGGTGTTACATTGTACAGTGGCATAATATGCACCTCTGGCCTACCCCTTCGGGATAAAAGGCGTGATGTTATGTTATGTTATGTTGATTTACCATTCATGGCGTATAAAATAAACAATACTACGTACAGTTACAGACTAGCATGTAATTATACTCTAAAGCATTACATTCATTTATTAAAAATTCTCAAGTTACATTTCGAAAAAAAAACAGAAATATAATAGCCCTAACCACCGGTGTGGCTTGAACCATGCCCCCGCTACTGGTCGGCTCCTACTTTTATGGTATTTATAATATATCACTTATTATTATAATCAATACATAGTATAAAACAAAGTCGATTTCGCTGTATGTCCGTATGTATGCTTAGATCTTTAAAACTACGCAACGGATTTTGATGCGGTTTTTTTTAATAGATAGAGTGATTCTTAAGGAAGGTTTGTATGTATAATACATCCATATTGCACCCGTGCGAAGCCGGGGCGGGTCGCTAGTTGTATATAAATGTATAGGTTCAGATAATGTTACAAAATAAAATTAGGTGTTTGTAGTAAACATACCTTAACCTGAAATATAATTATTGTATAATTATATTGTTTGTTATACTTATAAATGTAATTTGTATAAGTAGGTATTGTTCAAAGTAAAATGATTTACCTACTTATTTACTTCTATACCGGCCTTTCAATAGCGGTAGGTATAGAAATAAATAGTTAAAGTGTCGAAAGAATATCAGTACTTTCGAGGGTTAAATCCTTCGATCAACAGGTTAAATCAGACATTAAAATGTCCCGAGGGAGTTTCTGGTCTCCTATCGGGCGTGTCTCCAGGTGGCGGATAGGGGAATGCCGCGCAGATATGCGTGGTACCGGTATTAATCTGGCACGGACCAAAACCAGACGGGGTATCGCTCCCTATAGCGGGGACGCGATTCATTGCGGCGTTGTTGGCTAGTCTTTTGTGGCTAGTCATCGTGACTCTTGTCACCGTCGGACAATCCGTAATCCTGATTGAAAGAGACGGAGACTCAGCTTTGTTCACGTGGTAGGTTGGGTTATGAGGAAGAAAACCTTTATACAAAATTACTGAGTCGTGCGGATTTATTGCACGTACTTGCTAAAGTACACTGCATTTAGATCTGGCACTTACTCAAGGGGCGACGGGTCTACTTATGTCACAGCATTAGTGGACAGGTTTGACACAGATCACCGTTCGGCCCGAACGTCGAGCCAGTGCGGGCGCACTAATCCGGCGGATATTTGTTCTTCTTCGGAGATGCAAATGCGACGGGTCTCGCTAAGCCAGGGTGGCTGGATAGCGGGACGAAGGCATGTCTAATGCTGCCGTCGTCGGGACTGCTCAGAAGTGTGGTGAGGGGTGAATGGTCAGTTGGGGAAAAAACCAGGCCGCGAGCACTTCAACCTCCGGGCACCTGCCGCACCCGGTTGTATGTAGGCTTATCTGAGTATAAGGCTCTGCTCAGATGGACTTTTATTTCCTTACTACCCGTGGGAACAGCATGGAAGATTTTACTAATAATAAAAATAAAAATATCGTAGAGGAGGAGAGAGTGGAGGAGCTTGCCATTGTGTCAGAAGTTGACACTTTGGCTTCCATTGAATCAGTGGAGATGGATGAGAGTCGTCCCGATATTTCGAGATGGCTCAAGAGGCCGAGACGTGGGTCGCCCTCAGAGTCGAAAACGGGCTCTAGCGATGACGGAGAAGGTGACCTAGCGGATTCGACTGTTAGGTCAAATACTGCCCCGAAGAGGGGCAGGGGTCGGCCGCCGACGACAGGCAAATACGTTGGCATGGCAAAGGCGAGGAAGGAACTGGCAGCAGCCAAAAAAGCTGCCGAAAAAGAGGAACAGCTAACAAAGGAAGAGGCGGCTGTTGCCAAGAAGACACGAAAGGTTAGCGTCAGCAGGATCTCGAAACTATCAGAGTCGTCTCTATCTTCCGTGATAGAGGTGGATGACCTACAGGCCAGGCAATTAGACGGTTGGATCCAAAACGCTGTCGGTGCTATTAAGGAGGTTGCAAGGCTTTCTAAGGGTTTAAAGGGGACATCTCAGAAAGCTCTAAAAGAGGCAGAGGCATCTATAACCGAGGTCGCCCAGGAGCTCTTACAACGGACTTCAAATGAAGAAGTCCGACGCCTTGAGGCTGCGAACACTCGCCTCGAGGCTGCAAATGCTCGCTTAGAAGCGCAAATGGCAGAGCTCCTAAAGGAGCTTGGAGAGCTTCGTAAAGAGCTCTTCAACCAGAGAAAAATAGAGGCTGGACCTCCACCTCCAGCACGTTTGTCTTCATCTGAGGAGTCAAAGGTTATTCGGCTTCTTAAGACGGAGATATCAAGCCTCTCCATCTCGGTTCTCTGTCATAGAAGGCAGACTATTACGCCCACCATTGGAGCACATAGGGTAGTAGTGCCACGGGCCCCAACGCCTCCACTGACCTATGCAGCGAATACCGCTGTGACGGAGTTGGAAGCTCCTATGGATGACGAATTGGTGACGATGACGGTGAAAGCAACACCGTCCCCTCAGGTGGCTCCTGCAGCCAAGAAAACAAAGAAGAAAAAGAAGAAGAAGAAACAAAGTACTCCTGAAGCCAAAATGACGGCCCCATCGACTTTGCAGCCAAAAGATGGTGGTTGGGAGACTGTTGGGACAAAGAAAAAAGCTGAAAAGGCAAACAAAAAGGCGAAACAGCTGCGGTGCAGTCTGATAAAATTATAATAATAATAATAATAACCCCCCTACGGGGCCACCTTGACGTGGTGGGGGGGCTTAGGGAAGGCATGTACTATAAATAGGTCACTAAGAACTAGACCCACCCTTTTAATGGAGATTCAATTATTTATTTATTTATTTATTTATTACACACACAAGTTAACATTACAGGTTTAGGACCCAATGCGATAACAAGGAATTATAAAATCTAGCGACTACTTACACCATATTAGACTTTAGGTACTAACTAATAATCCAAACTATTACAGAGATAAAGAAAAACACAAACCCTGTATTAGGAAAACTTAACTCGTCGAGTACCGGTTTTGTAGACACAATTATAGAACAATAGGTTGCGGTCACCGGTGACCGCTTGGTGTTTGACAGTTTAATAAAATAAAGACTTAAAGACTAAAGAAAGAATAAAGACTAATTTAAATAGCATTATTATTGCCTATCTATAACATAAATTATATAACAGAATCTTTTGAATTCACTCGGCTGACAGG